GGAGCCCAGGGCCAGAGGTAGGAGGCTGACAGTATACCCGGAACAGGGACCAGCAGCCGGTGAAAGTGCAAAGGTAGGCAGAAGTTAGAACACAGAAGGCCTTAATGTGTAGAGCTGTCCTGAGGCCAGTGGGAAGCTACTGCTGGGTTTTAAGCAGGAGGCATGGACTGACCAGGTTTGCACGTGAGAGTTGACTCTGGAAGCTGGGTGGAGACGGAGGTTGATGCTGAGCCCTGAGGCTGGAGACAGCTCCCCAGTTCCATCCACTTCTCAGCTCTGTTTTCTCTGTGGAAAAATCCAGATCCCGATTTACAGTGTTTCTCTCTGATGGATTAGTGTGAGAGTCAAATAAGATCATTATTGCTAATAGGCTCTGTCAATAAGTAGAATTTAGTTGGCCGCTTGCATTGTCTTCACTTGTGGATTAAATAAATACTAAAATAAAAACCATCAGGGAGCCTGACTGAGCAGGGAATAACTTCTTTGATGAAGGAATGTTTTCCTTTATATGTTTCCCCTTTATATGTCAGCAACTTTGACCAGAGGAAATGAGAACCCATGCCTTTGGGGGTGTTCCTGCAGACGCGGAGCTGTCCTCTCCCTGGGAACCTCACTGCTACTCAAAATGTGTTGCAAATATGAGCTGACTTAGTTATCTCAATGTTTAAACTTGAAACAAAATAAACATTCCTTTCCAAAATCTGCAGCATTAGTCACAAAATTACTAGAGAGAAGTTCTGCTCTTGGTTTATGAAGTGCTCAGTTAATCCCACAAGTGTGAGGGTTTCTGGGGTGACAGGGGAGAGCTCTGAGCTGGCTTTCAGCTCCATAGACAATTGACTTCTCATATTCCCTACATATGAGCTCCTCAACAGATGACAACCGGGGTGCGGAGGACACTAGGGGCTTTGTTTAGTTCTTGCACTTTTATGAAGGTGCAGGTACCCAATTGAAATAAATGGTGGATAGCATTTCCCCATCAGGGTAGTAAACAATTCTGGGGAAGAAGCCTTGGATGCTTTAGCTGGATGCTTTAAAGTCAAGAGCTTTCTAGCCAAGCAGGAGTTGATTACTATCAGGTCACCTGGCTTCTAATTACATGATGGGCCCTGTGCCTAAGGGAGTTTACAGGAACAGCTGCCTGCCCTGCCACAGCCGACTAGCGAAGGCACTAGACTGCAGGGCCAGGCAGTTCTGAGGTTAGAACACGCCCAAGCCCCTGCTCTGGGCATGGCCCCATCAGAGATGAGTGGCGCTCTGGTTAGGGAGACAGGCGGAACTTGACTAATGCCCAACAGAACAGACCACTTTCTCCAGCAGGAACATAGCAGAGGGCTTGGAGGACAACAGAAGAGGGCATGGGACTATCCCGGGTCAGGCACAAACCCACTGCTTGGGGATCTTTCAGCTCCAAGGCTGACAGAGGGGACAGACGTGCCTGGTGGAGAAGTCAGCACGGGCAAAATCACCAAGGTGTGACTGTGCGAGGCATGTTCTCAGAGGCCCACAACTGAGTGTGTCCAGGGCCTCAGGTAGGGGAGGCAACTGTGTGAGTTGCATGTGTGAATACACTCCACTGGTTCACAGAATGGGATCAGCATGCAGAAGCTTAATGTTTAGTCCCCTGCATAGGGGGACAGTCCGTCAGATCTCCCCCGCGTAGGGGGACGGCCAGTCAGATCTCCCCCGCGTAGGGGGTCGGCCCGTCAGATCTCCCCCGCGTAGGGGGACGGTCCGTCAGATCTCCCCCGCGTAGGGGGACGGTCCGTCAGATCTCCCCCGCGTAGGGGGACGGTCCGTCAGATCTCCCCCGCGTAGGGGGTCGGCCCGTCAGATCTCCTCCGCGTAGGGGGACGGTCCGTCAGATCTCCCCCGCGTAGGGGGACGGTCCGTCAGATCTCAGGACAGTTATTTCAGCCCCTCCATCCTTTTAAGCAGTTGCTCATGAGCACATCCCTCTCCCAGGCAGTCAGACCTCAATCCACGGTGTCCTCAGCTCTCAGGGGTACTGCGTGAGTCCCCTCTCACCCAGGCTTGGATTGAGTGGGGCTCCCTTGTGCTCCCCATGGGGGGGCAAAGGTAAGGGGCTTATGGCTCAGCAATAGCCGCCCCTCTATCTCTACAGAAGTCTTCCCTGTTCCCCCCTTTCTCTTCCATTTCTAATGTCAAAGTAATCATCATTATCATCTTTTTCATCATCATCATCATCACCAATACTACAATAAATAGTACTACAGTAAATACCAATACTCAGTAAATAGTACTATTTATGGAGTATTTATTGTGATACAAACATGGAATTAAGTACTTTACCTGCGTTATCTCCTTTAACAAGAAACTAAAGAGTTAGTTGAGAAAGAAAGGGAGGCATTCCAGTGGCCTTGGCCAACATGAGAAACCCACGTGGCTGCAGAGAGTGCAGGCTGGGTTGGGAGGCGGAACCAGGCCTTGAAGGAAAAACCTTCCACTGTCTTTCTTCTTTAGCAGCTTTAATTCCCAAGCTCTTGTGGAAGCTGAGGGAATCCGCATTAACTGTTTTAATTTGTACTTTTGCAAATGAGATGTAGTTACATGACAAGGATTCACTTCTCTGAGGTGTCAAAAATAAACTGCTGGGATGGAAAAGTGCCCATTGCATTCACACACTGGCCACTGTTTTTCTGTTAACTGGGGAAAGGCAAGATTCATGCTGACAAAAAGTTCTTGGAGGACGACTGTTCTCCCCATATTAGGAGCAGTGTGACCAGCATTCAGAGGATTCTAGGCTCCAAAAATGAATGTGCAAAGAACAAAACATGATTTTCCCAGAGAGGCAACATGAAGTGGGGAGGACTGTGGGCTCTGAGTCCACCCACCGTGCTTTGAATCCTCCATACAACCAGTAGAGGGGTGCTGGCCTGTTCCCACCCTCGGGCATCAGTTTACCAGGTGCTGTGAGGATTAAAGGAGACACCATACATGAAGCGAGTTAGATGCAGCCCACACACCTGGCTGTGCAGTATGTCTAAGGTGCTGGCTGCCACTCCCTTCCTCACGGCTCCTGCCTTAGGATGAGTAATGACAGCATTGTCCCCTTATTTACGGATGTGCCATTTGGCCTGGGATCCCAGGTCTCAGCCCCATCTCCCTTCCCCAGTTCTCAGGTTGTCACTGACCTGAGTGTGAAGACTGAGCAATTCTAGAAAGAACAAGGAGGCACGTGTGACTGGAATGGAATCAACAGGGTCAAAGTGAAGGAAAACAAAGTCAGAGAGTGGGAAGGGAGCAAACCGCATGGCCACAGAGCTTGGACAGTTTAGCAGCTGGATTCCAAGTGCAATGGGAAACTCTTGGAGAGTTTGCATCAGAGGACAGACTTCATCTCAATTCTATTTCAAATGATCACATTGGCTGTTACATGGATTAACATATTGAGTGTGTTCTCAACAGAGGGGAGCCACACTGAGGCAGATCTTTCAATAATGATAATAATAATAATGGTGTAGTAATGATAATACAATACTAATTAGCATCTATGTTCATATCTATCATTCTGTTGGATCAGTGCATTCATTTTACAGATGAGAAAACGGGAAAAAGTAATAGGCCCTGCATATTACAGTTAGTATCAAAGCAAGGACTGGGGCCCTTTCCCCCATGCCACAAGTCCCTCCTTGCTCTCCTGAATGGCTTGAGGGATGAAACCACTAGCTAGAGGTGGAGGGGTAGGGGTGAAGTGCTCGGCCATGGCTTATTTCTCTGTATTACATCGTTGCATCTGGGAGCCATATGCTTTGAAATGCTCTGTTTACCAAAATGCAAATCATGAGCCCCAGGGCCAGATTTCTGCAAACAAGTATTACTGCAGGGACCTTGGGCTGTCTCGTCAATCTAATGGTGGCAGATCTTCAAAGACCATCAAACAAAACCAGCTCCTGCCCACTCCCTTCCTTTACGTCCTGGAAAGAATAGGAAACGGCCCTGCCATGTGACATCGAGGAAAAGGCATGAGCTTGGATCAGACACAGGCTACACCTCCAGCCATTTGTGATTCCTTTGGAAAGTCACCTAGCCCCTCAAGCCTCCACCTTGAAAGTTATTATGCAATGAGAACTATTTAAAGACTGCTGAGCAATATGTATGGTGCCTGGACACAGAAGGTGCTTAGTGAGTTTGAATTTCCTTCCTTGCCTCTTGCCTTTATTAAGGCAGATTTAAATGTATTCTGTAACAATGTAAATTATAAATCCAGAGTTCTAGAAAGAAATGATAAATGGTCTCATACAAATTTGTTTTCTTCACAAATCCACCAAAAATGATGAGCATGTGATAATTTAGTGATTTAAAAAATGAAATTAAAATTGAGCTTTCTCTTGGATACTCAGGTGGGAGTTAATACCAGTGCTCTTGACACTGGCCTGGCCACCTCCACGTGTAATAATTTCCCATGTGCCAAGTAAGCACTCTCAAGGTTTTGACTTTACTGAGATTTTAAACAGCTCATTAAGTGAGATTATAGGCAAGGAACCTGAGGTCTAAGGAAGGTTCCCAACACCTCCCACCTGGTGGTCAGCAGAGCCAGAGGTACCCACTGAGAGTCAGGGCGAGTCACGGCTCTGTAAGGAGCCCCAGGGAGCATCTGCCACACCTCCTCATTCCTGGTTGCTCAGTGGCCTTCCCTGCTTCCCTACCTAGGAAGCACATGCCTGAGGAGGTAGGCATCTAAGCTCCTCTCAGAAATGAGAGGACAGACCTCGGATACATCCTCTCAGGGGAGGAGCTTCCTGCATGCACTCTGGTCCCAGATCCCCCAACAGGCTGCAGGCATGAGTTCTGATTGCTGATACATCTTGGCTGTTGTCATAAAAGAAATCTGTTTGGGAACCTGTGCATTTGCACTTTCTCAAATGTCTCTCCTAGATAAAGGGCAGAGGAGTCTCTTACCTGAATCCGGATCTCTTGGTTTCGAGGCCAAGTCTATCATCTCTGGCTTGTGCCACCTTGAGCAAGTCACTCTCTACTCTGGGTCTTAACTTCCTCACCAGTTAAATGGAGTTAGAATAACTGCCTCCTAAGATAATTCTTACAGCAACTGGTAGATTCTGCAAATACCTAGCACAGGACTTGATATGTAAATGTTAATGGAAATGGATTAATGAGATTAAGTCTATTGACATAAACAAAGCAGAATGCCCATGAAGAGTTTACAAAATGATTATATTTCAATGAAAGAAAAGCATTTTTAAATGCTTAAAAGAAAATATATTCAAAAGATTAAGTGGCATATGAATACACTTATGGAAATTTTAAGAGGGTTTCTAGGCATTTTCAAGGGCCTAGAAAATATATTTAAAGGATTAAGTGACATATAGACACACTTATGGAAATTTTTAAGGGACTTTCTAGGCAATTTCAAGGGCAAGAAATTGATGATAGTGGTTCCATTGGAAGAATTCTAATAAATATGAATTAAGGAAAAGTTTAGGCAGTTGCCCTTTATTTTCTATATTCGAAAATGAAATTAAAATTGAACTTTTTCTAGGGTACATGGTCAAGAGTTTGAAAATAGACAGGAGGGAGAAAGGACCTAAAAATAATATATAGGAAAGATTGCTGAAAGCAGAAATGACAAAGCTGGCTTTGGAGAAATACTGCAGGTGCACTTTGCTAAGCACATCTCATTTAATGCACAAAACAAAGCTAAGGAACTATTGTTAGCTTCATTTTATAGATGAGAAAACTAAGAACCATAGACACATGTGGTCAGATACCTAGTAGGTAAATAATGGGAATTTATATCAGGTTTATCTCTGGAGAAAGTTGTCAGATAGTTCCTCATGATAGACACCAGGGGTGCTGTTGCCACAAGCTTGGTTGTGAGACCAGCCGAGCTGGAGCACAGATTCACAGAATAGAGATTTGGAGGAAAAGGCAATTTTCAAAAAGTAGTTTTTATATGAAGAATGTGCATAATTCAATTCCTTTTCACTTGAACATAACTAAATAGAGCTATTTGAAATTTGCCAACAAGGTGGAAAAATATTTCTTTGCTTTTAAACATTTCTGAAGGAAAAATAATGGCATTATATAATGAAATAAATACATTATTAATGAAGTAGATAACATCAAAATTATAAGGAATATTTTTAGAATATATACAGAATTTTTAAATTACTTGGCAATTTTTCACATAGAATACACGATTAATCAGCACATATTTTCTATTTTTGTGGCAAGAAGGGAGGAAAATGAGATGGGGAGGGAAAGAGCTGGGGAGAAGGAAAGAGGGGAATAAAATAACTTCAAGTTGAGGGACATGCACCTCAATCCATATCACCTCTTGATATTCTATAAAGAAAGAAGTCAGAGGGACTTTATTTTCTTTTTACTAAATGTGGCTCTTCCATCAAGTTTTATGACCTTGAGCAAATGTATTTCCCTCTATGGGCCTCATTTTCCTAATCTGTAAAACGAGAGTTGATTTTTTTGTTTGTTTGTTTGTTTGTTTGTTTGTTAGTTTTCCTAGAGTCCTAGGGAATATCCTAGGTTTCCATGCCTCAAATGCATGGATTCAAACCTGGTTTCCTTCTCTACAGTGTATGTGCTACTAAGGCAAGAGCAACTATATGTTCCCGGGGAAGATTTTTTCTGCCAAAGCAAATTGGCGGGCAAGCCACTCGCTCAGGAAAACAGTCAACCAGTGTGGCTCAGTGTCCATGGGCTCCAGGAGCCAGGAAGCTTACTCAGATCACAGGATTAATGTTCTCGTAGAACACATTTCTCCTGAAGAATAATAATAACCATGAAAAGCTATTGAGTGTTCATCAGACCTCAGACACAATTCAATGTGTGTTATCTGCATTCGGTCCTTTGAGCTTTGCCATGATCGTGTGAAATCAGTTCCATTGTCCCTGCTTTACAGAAGAGGAAATTCAAGCCAGAAAGATGAACTAATGTGCCCAAGGTCACACAGAGTCTGCAAGTGGCAGAGCCAAGACTCTAACCCAGGTCTGATCCAAGCAGCATGCTCCAAACTATAGTATCAGGCCCTACCCAGGCCCCTAACTGTGGTGTTAGATCCTCACCCCAGGCCCCTAACTTTAGGGTAAGACCCCCACTCCACGCTCCTAATTAGAGTGTGAGACCTCCACCCCACGTCCTTAACCCTAATATTATACCTCAACTCCTGAAACTAGTTCTTAGGTGTCTAAGGTATAAAGATTTTCTTCACTGCTGTTATTAGTAATGGCTACATGATTATTGCAACAGTCACTGAGAAGTTAAAACCCTTAAGGAATAAATGGCAGTAGCAAAGATTCCAGTTACCTTCCCCCAAATCCCCTCGTCCACACCCTTTTGTGGTTCCTAGACAGACCTACAACTGCTCCCATATGAGGCCTTTGGCCTGAGGACTTCCCCAGTCTTCTCAGCCCACACTGTGGCAGGTCAAAATCACTGCCCAAAGCGCAGTATTTAAGGAGTGACTGACGGGGACATGGTGGATAAATAACCCAGCCCTCTTGCCCCCCAGATTGGGTAACTCTGAGGTATGTTTTTCACAGTTTCCCAAGGGTCCCAGTTAGATAATGGTGTGGTTGCCTGTGGTGGTGCATTGCTGATAACATACCCCTTATTCACCTCCTTCACTTCCTCACACTCTAACCTGCGTTTCCTGGGATCAACTGGCACAAAAACTGCTTCTCAGGGTCTGCTGCTGGGGCGATCCAGAATAGTATACTCAAGATAGCAAAGAAGACTCTATGATCACAAGATGAGTGGACCCAGATACATCATTATTTGGGGCTAATGTTCAAAGTTTAAGCTACAGTGCACTGTTGGGCAACATATATTGAGTCCTGTAATATGAAGAGGACCCCGTGCAAGACACATTCATGCACACATGACACCTTCCCCCTATTTCTGCTCTTTTGAACTGAGAGGTGCTGTCAAAAGAACATGGTCAGAAGACCCAACTTCATGTCCTGTCTCTTCGAGTCGCAAGCAGGACTAGTAATTGGGCAAGGCCCTCTATTTCCTGAAATGTCAGTTTCCTAATCTGTAATTTCAATTCATAATTCATGGTTTGATCATGAAGAAAAATTTGATGAGATAAGGTGTGCCTAGCATTTTTATGACTAAAAATGTCCACAAAAGTAAAGGTCTCAAACCACAGAATTTTTAAAAAGGCAGCCTCTTGGCAAAATCCTTTATAAGAAGAGACTGTTTTCACCTGCTCTTTAATTTTGAATCATATCATTTTCAGGTGACCAGCACCTACATACCTACCACAAGAGATGCCAATAATTTACCTGTCAAAAGCTAATAATCACAGGATTTTAGGTAAATATGGTCACATATAGCCTTGTTACAGAACTTCCTCCTGCAAATACCTAAGAAAATGAGCAGGAAAATAGTCATTAAAAAATAATAACAATACCAACAAAGCAAACCTTTACACAGATTGAAAAAAAAAATGGCCAGCAGTAACCAAACAAGGAAATCTATCACATAGCTAGAAAACTAGCAGCGAACAAAGAATAATTCTAGCAGAGGAGATTCTGTCTCCACTCTTCAGAAAACAGCACTGACCGGAGAAGGACATTTGATAAACCCTAAGAACTCTCACTTCCACCTTGATTTTGTGGGGGTGTTGGAGTGAGTAGGTGAGTCAGCAATTGCAGGGAAAGATAAAAAAAATACCTTCCCCCAAAACAGCCCTGCCAAAGGGTCCTGGGGATTGCTGCTTTCTAAGACTATGTCCTAATTGGAGGAAACCAGTTAAAGGCCACTGGAGTAGAATATGCCCCTGACCACATGGAATGGGTTCTGGTGCATGTCACTCTACAAAATCTAAGAGGAGAGAGAGAGCAGAACCCAGATCCTCCATAAAGGCTGCTGACAGCCCTAGCCAAGTTTTGTGCCCACCCCACCCCTGCCACATTTTCCCACAATTTATTGAAAACTTACTGAAAGATGGTACTGAGATCTCAAACTGTGATGTGGAAGCCAAGACAAACTAGAAGATAAAAAGAAAAGGTATCAAATATGGGTCTTCTACCATATCACAGCAGGTGGAAATCTGGACAAAGTAGCCCACTCCAACAAGGATAAGAGAAATGGAGGGAAATGCACAGGGAAAGAGCCAACCTGGGAAACAAGGAAGAAAGGAAAGAGAGGGAGAGAAGAGGGAAGAGAGAGATTCCCCAGAGCAAACAATATCTATACAGAAAACAAGAGAATAAAGTCACTCAAGAGATGGCCAATAAGAAAGGGAGACAAAGCTGATCCAACACAAGAATAATTGGTGTCTCTGAAGCAAAGAATCCAGCATGTAGAAAAGAAGGTATTTTCAAAGGTGTAACATAAGAAGTAAATGAAGAGTGGATCTGCAGCTCAAAGGGACATGCTATGTTCTACAAACAGTTGTTACAGGAAAATCAACACTAGTAATATTGTTGTCTCTGTGTCCCCACCCAAATCTCATCTTGAATTGTAATTTTACAAGTCAGGGGAGGGACTTGGTAGGAGGTGACTGAATCATGGGAGTGGTTCCCTCATGCTGTTCTTGTGATGGTGAAGGAGTTCTCACAAGATCTGATGGTTTCAAAGTGGAAGTTTCCCCTACTCTCTCTCTGTCCTCTTTTGATGTGGTAAGACATATCTTGCTTCCCCTTTGCCTTCCACCATGATTATAAGTTTCCTGAGGCCTCCCCAGCCATTCAGAACTGTAATTCAATCAAATCTTTATTCTTTATAAATTACTCAGAGTCAGGTATGTACATAGCAGTGTGAAAATGAACTAATACAACCAATACATGATAGTTAACAAATTTCAAAAATAAACAACAATTTCCTCGGGGCTCTGGGTAGAAAAAGCCAATCACCTAAAAGAAAAATACTCAACTAGCCCCAATCTTCTTCACTAGAACATTTAATGTCAAAGCCAAATACCAAAATACAAATGGAGAACATCTCTAGGTGGAAGACTGATGGGTAATTTTTGTTTCCTTTTTATACTTTGTCATGTTGCATGCTTTTAAAAAATATTTTACATGAGCAAATATTATTTATGAAAATCAGAAAAAAATGAAACTATTTACATTTTGAAAAGCAAAATAAAAATGAAAGAAGGCCTTCCTGAAATTCATTCTGTTTCTGTATCAAACCCCATTCTTTCTCATTTTATCTTGGATTGGAAGAAACAGACCTTGAGAAACTCTTAGGAAATTAGGCCACCAATGCTTTCAGTAAGAGAGATGAATGAATTAAAACTGTGAAGATAGCTAAGTTCTTTTCAAGTATTTTAAGTTTTGTTAGTGTCCTAGACTTGCTTGGAGCATAAGGGAGTTATTAAGACTTATGCTGTGAAGTTACCCAGAGCAACTGAATTTGCAGCTACTGGTGATGTGCTGTTGAAAAAATTACATAACTTCCACAAGCTTCAGTTTCATTATATGTTAAATGGAAAAATAATGGCAGTAACTATCATATCACAGTGATAATTAAATGTAATAATATATGTAAAGTGCTTTTCCTAACTTTTATTTTTAAGTTTAGGGGTACATGTGCAGGTTTGTTACATAGGTCAACATGTTTCATAACGGTTTGTTATGCAGATTATTTTATCACCCAAGAACGAAGCCTAGTACTCATTTGTTATTAATATTTTTTCTGATCCTCTCTGTTCTCCCACCTTCCAGTAGGCCCCAATGTGTGTTGTTCTCTTCTATGTGTCCATTTGTTCTCATCATTTAGCTCCTGTTTATAAGTGAGAAAATGTAGTATTTGGTTTTCTGTTCCTGTGTTAGTTGGCTAAGAACAATGACCTCCAGCTCCATCCATGTCCCAGTGAAGCACATGATCGCATCCTTTTTTGTGGCTGCGTAGTATTCCATGGTATATATGTACCACATTTTCTTTATCAAGTCTATCATTGATGGGCATCTAGATTGATTCCAGGTCTTTCCTATTATGAATAATGCTGCAGTGAACATACACATGTATATATCTTTATAATAGAATAATTTGTATTTCTTTGGGTATATACCCAGTGATAAGATTGCTGGATTGAATGATAGTTCTGTCTTTAGGTCTTTGAAGAATCACTGCACTATCTTTCGTAATAGCTAAACTAATTTGTACTCCCACCAACAGTGTATAAATATTCCTTTTTCTCCACAACCTAGCCAGCATGTGTTATTTTTTTAGTTTTTAATAATAGGCATTCTAACTGTTGTGAGAACATATCTCATTGTGGTTTTGATTTGCATTTCTCTCATGAACAGTGATGTTGAGTTTTTCTTCACATGATTTTTGGCAACTTGTATGTCTTCTTTTGAAAAGTATTCATGTCCTTTGCCTGCTTTTTGGTAGGTTTTATTCTTGTAAATTTGTTTAAGTTTCTTGTAGATGCTGGATCTTTGTCAGATGTATAGTTTGCAAAAATTTTCTCCCATTATATAGGTTGTCTGTTTACTCTGTTGATAGTTTCTTTTGTCGTGCAGAAGCTCTTTATTTTAATTAGATCCCATTTGCCAATTTTTGCTTTTGTTGCAATTGCTTTTGGTGTTTTTGGCATGAAATATTTGCCTGTGCCTATTTGCCAAATGGTATTGCCTAGGTTGTCTTCCAAGGTTTTTATAGTTTTGGGTTTTACATTTATGTCCTTAATCCATCTTGAGTTAATTTTTATATGGTGTAAGGGAGGAGTCCAGTTTCAATCTTCTGCAAATGGCTAGCCATTTATCCCAACAATATTTTTTGAATAGAGATCCCCATTGCTTGTTTTTGTCGGGGGTGCCAAAGATCAGATAGTTGTAGGTGCACAGTCTTATTTCCATGCTCTCTATTCTGCTCCATTGGTCTGTGTATCTGTTTTTATACCAATACCATGCTGGTTGGCTACTGTAACCCTGTACTATAGTTTGAAGTCAGGCAGTGTGATGTCCCCAGCTTTGTTCTTTTCGCTTAGCATTGCCTTGGATATTTGGGCTCTTTTTTTGTTCCATATGAATTTTAAAATAGTTTTTTCAAGCTCTGTGAAGAATGTTAATGGTAGTTTAATGGGAATAGCATTGAATTCATAAATTGTTCGGAGCAGCATGGCCATTTTAACAATATTAACTTGTTTTAATCAATGAACATGGAATGTTTCTCCACTGGTGTGTCATCTATGATTTCCTTGAGCAGTGGTTTGTAGTCCTCCTTGTAGAGATCTTGTAAAGTGCCTTTACAATGCCTGCCACAGTTACTGTCATCATCACCAGCAGCTGCAGAAGCACCATCATCATCATCATTACCATCATCATCTTCTTCATCACCATCACTTCTTGCTAAGAAACCTTGTGTATGTCACTCTCCTCCTCTGAGTTTCAGCTAACTCATAAAATGGGGAATATAATGCAGAGGAGTTTTGATTATTATTATTATAGCATCTCACACTTATTGAGTGCCCCTCGTGTGTAAGACCTATACTAAGGTTTTGCATTCGGTAGTTCATTTCATGCTCACAAACACCCCCAGAAGTAAGCTCTTACTATCATCACTTGACAGGTGAGAGAACTCAATTCCAGAAAGATTTAGGTGAGACAGGACTTAAACCTTTCTTACTAATACCAAAACCCAAGCTCCAGCCCACTGCACTTTACCACCTTCTCTGGTTGTGAAGATCAAGGGATACAATGGGAGTGAAGACACCTGTGCACAATGCAGCCATCCAGCATTCTCATGGTTGCATAGGGCCTGGTCTGATGGCCCAGTGAAAGAGGTTCTGATATCAATGTACCATGAATTCCCTGGCATCCTAATTGTTTGTTCTTTCATCAATCCTGCAGACACGTACAGAGCACCTGGTATGTGTTCTGCACTGTGCTAGGAGCAGGAGCCTTAACCAATAAACAAGTCATGGCCTCAAGCCCTGAAGAAACAAAGAGATGTACCTGGAGGCAATTTGTCAGTGTTCTACTGCATTGTACATTGATGTACCACATTCTATTTTACCAGCATCAGAATTACTGAATTATCCACAGGTGCTTCCAAAATCACACCTAGGAAAGTCACAGAAAGTGAAATGACAACACCCAACCCTGGTCAGGCTTCAGAATTGCTGTGAACTGATTCCCAGGGAGTGACACAAACACTTTCTGACAATGAAATATTCTGCAGACCCAAAGGCTGGTTTTATTCTATTTTTCTGTGTAACCATTGTTCTCACACATTTCCATAGATACCTTTAAGATATAGAGTCTAATTTCTTTGTAGTGAACAGCGTATCAAATCTTATCAAAATCAACTTTCTGAGCATTTAACTTATATAAGTATATATTGATGGAATATCTACTCTGGGGGAAATGCCAGGCAAATGGAGATAGTGCCTGCTCATGGGGGCTCACAGCATAGTGGGAGGTGAGGGAATGCCCTGTTCCAAGTCATTTTTGATTTGTTGGAGTGCCGACTTTGCTGGCAACATAGTGGGGTGATAATGGTGAAAAGTCTGGAGAGATTTGGACTTGAATTGGTCCTGGCTTTGTGGCTTTGTCACTCTGGGTTGCTTGGTTGGATCAACTTGCTAAGTGACAGCGTATGTGCAATGCTCACCTGGAAAGCTTTATCTCAATGGAGGAAGAATTGTCTTCAAATTCAGCCCCTTCCTTTCATCCCCCCAGCCGTGATCTGAGCCTTCTGAAACGCCCATTGCCAGGCTAGGCATGGCGGCTCACAACTGCAATCCCAGCACTTTGGGAGGCCAAGGTGGGCAGATCATCTCAGGTCGGGAGTTCAAGACCAGCCTAGCCAACATGGAGAAACCCCACCTACTAAAAATACAAAATTAGCCCAATGTGATGGCACACACCTGTAATCCTAGCTACTCAGGAGGCTGAGACAGGAGAATTGATTGAACCTGGAAGGCAGAGGTTGTGGCAAGCCACGATTGCACCATTGCACTCCAGCCTGGGCAACAAGAGCAAGACTCTGTCTGTGAGAGAGAAAGAGAGAGAGACAGAGAGACAGAGAGACAGAGTGGGGGGAGGGAGGAAGAAAGAGAGAAAGAAAGAGAGAGAGAGAGAGAGAAAGAAAGAAAGAAAGAAAGAAAGAAAGAAAGAAAGAAAGAAAGAAAGAAAGAAGGAAGGAAGGAAGGAAGGAAGAAAGAAAGAAAAGAAAGAAAGAGAGAGAGAGAGAGAGAGAGAGAGAAAGAAAGAAAGAAAGAAAGAAAGAAAGAAAGAAAGAAAGAAAGAAAGAAAGAAAGAAAGAGAGAAAAAGAAAGGAGGGAGGGAGGGAAAGAAAGAAAGAAAAGAAAGAGAAAGAAAGAAAGAACGAATGAATGAAAGAAAGAGAAAGAAAGAAAGAGAGAGAGAGGAAAGAAAGAAAGAAAGGAGGGAGGGAGGGAGGGAGGTAAAGAAAGAAAGAAAGAAAAGAAAGAGAAAGAAAGAAAGAACGAATGAATGAAAGAAAGAGAAAGAAAGAAAGAAAGAAAGAAAGAAAGAAAGAAAGAAAGAAAGAAAGAAAGAAAGCAAGCAAGCCAGCCAACCATTGCCTCCTCCCTGGACTGCCCTGACAGCCCCCTGCATCCACTCCTACACTCTTCCAGGCTTTTCTCCAAACAGCAGTGACCTCTATGAAATGCAAATTGATCACCTCAACTGCTGCATAGAAGCCAGAAGAGGCTTTCTTCAACTGTGAACCCTTCTCCATGACCTACAAGAGGCTGCTTCATTGGCCCTGCTCACATTTGCTCTCTCACCCCTTCAGGTGTCTGGATGATTGGCTCCTGTTGTAGACCTTGGCCCAATTCTTTCACCCATAGGTCCTCTGCCAGCTCCTCCCTGCACCCAGCACGATCTTCCCCAGATCTTCAGGAGCTGCATCTCCTTCTTCAATCCACATCTCCTCCATCTCCTCCCCACAACACCCTTCCCCACCCACTGCCAAAATAGATAGCGCATCCCCTCCAGAATGCTGGTCACATTTTGTATTTATCTTTATTTATTCATTTGCTCACTCCCTTTTTATTATCTAGTTCCATAGGCTTTTGGTGAACAGGTGGTGTTTGGTTACATGAATAAGTTCTTTACTGGTGATTTCCAAGATTTTGATGCACCCATCACCCAAGCGGTATACACTACCCAATTTATAGACTTTTATCCCTCACCCCCTCCCATCCTTTCCCCCCAAGTTCCCAAAGTCCATTGTGTCATTCTTTTATCTTTTTTTTCTTTTTGAGATGGAGTTTCGCTCTTGTTGCACAGGCTGGAGTGCAGTGGTGCTATCTCAGTTCAGTGCAACCTCTGCCTCCCGGATTCAAACTATTCTCCTGCCTCAGCCTCCTGAGTAGCTGGGATTGCAGGCATGTGCCACCATGCCCAGCTAATCTGTGTATTTTTAGCAGAGACAGGGTTTCTAATGTTAGTCAAGCTGGTCTCAAACTCCTGACCTCAGGTGATCCACCCACCTCAGCCTCCTAAAGTGCTGGGATTACAAGCATGAGCCCCCACGCCCTCGTTGTATCATTTTTATGCCTTTGCATCCTCATAGCTTAGCTCTCACTTATGAGTGAGAACATGTGATATTTGGTTTTTCACTCCTGGCCACACTCCCTTTTTAATGAACAAATCATCCCAGCAGACAAGGGATTCCCATGAAAGCAAGCTCATGTTGCCTTTGACCTCACTGTTGGAACAGCCACAGCACATATGTAATTGTTAGATGTTGACACAATGAATAGCTCTAGTCTAGTGATTTCCAAATTGTGTTCAGTGTCTCTCTAGAGTTTGGTAAAAGTCCCTGAGGGATTTCCCATCCTTTGCCCACACTGTCTTGTCTGAGAAACACCCAGGTATAGATCTCGTTGGTGGTTCCAGTTGGAGATGGGGAGGGGACAGTGGGATCCCAGCAGTCATGCTGAGTCCCAGGTCCTGGTCTGGGCACAGGGCACGATTGCCGGTCTCACTGAACAGGACATGGAGGAATGGAAGGGTACAGACCTCAGACCACGTGTGGGTTTGGAAATCTGTGGAGGTGGTTTGGGCTGTGGTGGTGACTGGAGGCTCTCCTGGCATCAGAAAGTAAAGGGTAATATGTGCCCTCAATTAAATGCCATGCAATTGCACAGGACAGTCTTCGAAATCAAGACTTGTCCCACCCCAGTGTCAATGATGTCTCCACTGAGTAACGCTGAGCCACCAAGGCAACTCCAGAACCGGGGCCCACTACACATTCAGTCAAGGGGCATGAAGGAGACCAAAGGTACCAAGCTGTCCTCTCTCAAGCAAGGATTAGCAGGAAAAAAAAAAAGGCCAAAATTTGGAGGCCAGAGTTCCAAATCTGTGCTCTGCTACTCAGGAGTGGAGTAACCTTTGGCAAATCAAGTAACCTCCTCAGGCTTCAGTTTTCTCGCCCAGGGATATGATAGCCAATACCTTCCTGACTCGCTTATTCTGAATATTAATTGTAAACATTCATAGCACAAGACAGTCAGTAAATGTCAGTGTCCTTACACATCAAATTGATATATACAGTATTCAATTTGTGATGGGTCACAGAGTGATTTGGAGGGCATTTGGAGAGCCAAGAGGATGATGAATCTCTCATTTGGACGAGACAGGTCAGAGAAGTGGCTTTTATACATTGAGGGCTGAAGGGCTGAGGGTCGCCTAACTCCAGCGCACCCTCCTAGAGCTGTCATCCAGACAGGCAGAATCAGCTCCTGTTGAAAGAACATTCCCCTGCTGCGGGGGTGGCTCTAAAGTGTGGCAGATGGAGATGGATGTTGGAAGCATGACCTTCTCAGAGTGATTAACTCCGTGTCCTGGCTCATACATTGCAGGTGGCATCCCGTTCATCTTGACCGGTGAGTTCTTCCAGCAATCTCAGCGGCCGGCTGCCTTCATCATCGCAGGCACAGTCAACTGGCTCTCCAACTTTGCTGTTGGGCTCCTCTTCCCATTCATTCAGGTATGAGTGACAAGGAGTCTTTTGCCCCTGGGATTCCCTTTGATTCTGTAGCCCGAGAGGGGTGATTCATAGAGCAGAGGTTGATCTCTCCCGTCAACCGGAAACTTCCAATGCTTCCAATGAAAGGGCAAAACCTTTCATCCCTTTCTCTTTCCTGAACCTTCCTAGAGCTGCTCTAAATGCTATGGGCTACTTCAGAGGGCGTGGGCTAACCATTGCTGAGGATATGCAAGGACTCCTAGGCTAGTAACTCAAACCTACAACCTACTTATCATTTTTGCAATGTGCTCATCACTGTGTAAGACAAATTCCATCTAATAGTTCCAGTGTACTCTGCAATTCACCACCCATTTGACATCCTCATTGTCATCATCGTAACCACTGCTAATGGGATCATCGTCCCAAGGGTGACAGTGATCATTAGGAAAATGCCCATACTCAAGAATCAGATATAATATGAGTTCTTTTTGGGTAGGGAAAGAATCTGATCACTTGCTCACTCATTAATTCAATACATATATATGTTGAGTCCCAGCTGTGTGCCAGGCACTATTCTTGGCAATGAGGATAGAGTGGTAACAAAGCCTGTGTTTCCTGTCCTGGAGCTGAATGGGGAAGCAAAGGAGGCAGAAGTGCTGTTTTAGATGGGGCGGTCTGTGATGGGCTCTGGAAGGTAACAGTGGAGCAGAAGCCTGGGTGAAGTGAGGGAGCAGAGCGGTCTGGGAATGGTGAAGTCCTGGCTAGAGAAACAGCAAGTGCAAGGGCCCTTAGGCAGGGCTATATTAGCCTGTGTAAGAGACCGCCCAGAGGCCTGTATGACTGAAACAGAGTGAGCAAGGAAGATGGGTGAGACACAGGATGAGATCAGAGGGTTATCTGGGAGCAAGAGCACAAAAGACAAGAGCTTTGCAAGCCTTCTGTACAGAGCAAGGGGCCCAGAAGCATTTGCAGAAGGAGGATGAAACTTCCCTGCTCAAATGCCCACCAGGGCTCCCTGCTGCCCATGGTACTAGGTGGTACCACCTGGAGAAGGTGAGACTCCATCAGATACATCACCATCCATTCCCAGGGGCTATTTCAATCCTGTCCTCCTCCCCTCACCAGCTATTCTGGACAATTACTGTGTAAGACAAATTCCACCTAATAGTTCCAGTGCACACTGCAACTCAGTTCAGTCTGCCTGCTAAGTTACTAGTGCCAAGTCCAACACATCCCAGAGATTCTGCTACCAGCTTGGGTGAGCCGAAGATCTGTATTTACAGTACTCCAAGCCCCAGCCACCCCAGCTGCAAGCCTGCATGGCGGCTGTTCCTGCATTCACAGTTACGGAGCAGTTGCTCTGTGCCACCTCCCTCCCCCATGCATGGCTTTCTGTGCCCCCATTACCCTCACACGTCCTGAGATGGAGTTTCGGATCCTTGCCACTTTACAGGAAAGGAGGTTCAGGAAGTAGACATGGTCAGCCCAGGTCCCACAGCCAGCATTAAACCCAGTTTCTCCATCTCACCACTTCTTCCTCATCTTCGCTCTCCAGCAATCACTTGCCACAGCCCCCCCATCTCAGAGTTAGGAGGCTACCATGCCCTGTAACTCTCAAGGCGTCTTTGACTGTGTTTTAGCAACAACCACTCTATTTCTGAAACATAAATGCTGTTGGGGGCTCCGTGGGCCATGGAATTAGGCAAGGTCCCACACTTATTTACTCCCATCCTGGAGCACCTTCATGTGGCTGCAGTCAGAACATAACAAGTTATCTTTTCAATTGACTTTAAACCTTAAGGGGCTTTTTACAGTTTGGCTCAAAGCCAGCAGAGCCAGGTGTCAGTAAAATCGTCATTATTGTGGCAAAAGTTAACTTCAAACTGCTTCTGTCAACACAGTTCCCCCATCACATTTATAAATTACGTAGGGAAGTTCCAGCATCTTCACATGGCCCAGTACTGAGATTTGTATATCTGAGAAGCAGGCCACTATCTTCTGAGCCACTTGGGGGGTGTGAGGTGTGAAAGACCTTGCTTACCTGCCACAGTTTGGGCATTAACAGCACCAGCATGCCACTTCAGCATAGTGTTTACTGAGCGCTTGCTGTGTGCCCACGGTACTCCACTGCTGCCTAAGCTAGGAGGTAGTACCTGCATGAGCTCAGAGAGCTACCCCACTTCCAAACCTATGTAATTTTTTGTATTTGTAAAAACCAGAATCAATTCTTTGCTTTGTTCTTGCTTCTCTTTTCTGACATTTATGAGCCATTCCTTATGCCTGTGGGTATTTTCCAAACAAATCCCCTCTGGAAACAGTTCCTGAATGGTTGGGTATCTCCAGGGTATCTGGGTTTTCAGGGATCATTCAGGAAACATTGCAGGTGTGACTGTTGATGAACCTTCATCGGAGCAGGAGCACCCAGTCTGGACACACGGATGGAGATGCTGGGCAGGCACCTGTGTTTAGTATTTTGTGAAACGTCAGCCTTCTGACCCAAGCCTGGGAAGGTAGCCACAGTTAATTTCCTTCTGTGGAGGAGCTTAGTGGGTCGGAGAGCTGGGCTCAGGGGCTGCTGTGAGCAATGATCAGTGCACTAGAGAAATGCAAGGCTACCAAGTTCTGAGTCACACCCCCAACCCCAGCCCACCCCAGCCGCACCCTCTCCCGCCCACCAGGGCAACGCGTATGTGCTGTAGCCGCCATAAATGAACCATTTCTGACCTCCCTCCCTCCTGAAAGCCAGCTCAGCCACAATCAAGAGCTACGGTAGTCTACTCGGGCTGCCATGACAAAATAGCACGGACTAGGGGGCTTAAACATCAGAAATTAATTTTCTCACAATTCTAGAAGCTAGAAGTCTGACAGCAAGGGGTCAGCAGGGTTGGTTTCTCTGAGGCCCCTCTCTTTGGCTCGTAGATGGCTGTTGTCAGGTCCATGACTACGCCAATTATCATGCCCAGGGTCAGGTCCCAGCTCATGCTTAGGTCCAAAGGGAGTAGGTGGACGAGCAAATAGCTGGAAGAACACTCAGGGGACTGTAGGCAGGTGAAATGTAGCTCTCTCATCAGCAGCTGACTCATGCTAGTTCTCTTACACCATCCACCTGTCCTGGCTGCTTAGTCCAGCATTCCCACACATGGCTGCACGGCAGGCTCTCCCTTCAGGGTCAGCAGCTTAACTCTTTTTCTCTCTGGGAGCCAGAGTTCAAGCTGTGTCCTGGCTCCCCTCTGTCTGTCTTGCAGATGGACGGCTCTGATTCTTTCTTGCTTTCTCTGGGTGCCAGCGTGAAAGAACCTGTATAGTGTCAGCAGGGCAATTATACCTTTTACAGACAATAGTGGTGTAGGCCCAAAGGATGGCCTTCCCATATTGTGGCTACATGGATGTGATAACAGGTGGAGTTATATGCCTGCACTCCAAACTCGCTGAGTCACTCTGGATGCTTACCTCAGCCTACCCTTGACCAAAGCACAACCATGTTTCTTACAGCTGTCTCCTCCCTGTGTCCTCACATGGTCTCCCTTCTGTTTGGATCTGTGTCCTTAGAATAGCAGGATATTGGATTAGAGCCCACCCTAATGACCTCATTTTAACTTAATCACCTTTTCAAAGGCCGTATCTCCAAATGCAGCCACATCCTGAGGTTCTAGGGCTTAGGACTCAAGGTATGAATGTAGTGAGGGACATGGTTTAGCTCACAGCACCTCCAAGAGAAACTACACACACATCTTGATTGTTTCACTTATTCCAATGAGTGTCAGTGGCAAATGTATTCCAGCCCTCAGACAGACCCCTAGGAAGCCTTAACTTATTCCTCAGAATAAAATATCTGAGCCAATAGAGCCACAGCCAATCGCACAAATCATACCTACGTTGCAGCCTATGTATTCGCAGAGGGCCCTGGGCATGCTCCTCAAGCATGGACTTCTTCTAAGCATGAATTTCCTCACCTGTAAAACAGGAAAAACCCTTAACCTTCTCATCACCAACAGAAAAAGGAGGCCACTGTGGTTGTGGGGCGGAGCCCATGTGGGCTCCTCATGCTCACCTCCACACGCTGGCTCTGGGAGCCTGTTGCCAGCATTTGCTGTGGTCAGCATCAGTGTTGCTTGCTTGGGCCATCTGTCATAAAACCTGCAGAAAATTCAGTCTTTAGTGTGAGTGCCAATATTTTCTGATTTGGAAAAAAAATTGCATGCAAATATATGCCTCTTTGATTCTACTGGAGTTGTAAGCCTGTTTGAGTTCAGTAAACTCTGGAAGGGAGCAAATTATTCTTTTCCATCTGAAGAATATGAGATCATGTTCTGAATGCCTCAGCAGAGTGCGATGAGCAGGGCTAGTCAAACTTTTTCTGATCTTTTTGTTTTTCTTCAACTTTTATTCTAACTTTGGGGTACATGTGCAGGGTGTGCAGGTTTGTTACACAGGTAAACATATGCCATGGTGGTTTGCTGCACAGATCAGTTCATCACCTAAGTATTAATATTAAGCCCACAATCCATTAGCTGTTCTTCCTGACACTCTCCCTCCCCCACAATCCCCTGATAGGCCCCAGTGTGTATTGTGCCCCACAATGTGTCCATATGTTCTCATCATTCAGCACCCACTTAGAAGTGAGAACATGCAGTGTTTTATTTTCTGTTCCTGTGTTAGTTTGCTGAGGGTAACAGCTTCCAGCTCCATCCATGTCACTGCAAAGGACACAATCTCATTTCTGTATATGGCTGCATAGTATTCCATGGTGTATATGTACCATATTTTCTTAATCCAGTCTATCATTGATGGGCATTTGGGTTGATTTCAGGTCTTTGCTATTGTGAATAATGCTGCAGTGAATATACAGATGCATATATCTTTACAATACAATGATTTATATTCCTTTAGGTAGATACCCAGTAATAGGATTGTTGGGTAAAATCGTATTTCTGCTTCTAGGTCTTTGAGGAATCACCATGCTGTCTTTCACAATGGTTGAACTAATTTAAATTCCCATCAACAGTATAAAAGTGTTCCTT